TGAAGCGGCATGTCGTCATCAGTTGTGTACTCAATCCAAGAACACCACTCAAAGACCCTCTTACCCCCCTCCCCTAGCTCTAAGGCCCAAAACCCGCCAACCTCGCCATGCGGGCGGCGTGGGGAAGATGAGTGTTAATGATTTAATTGCCCTTGAGACAGCTATAGACACTGCTAATTTTGTACATTTGCATTTCTTCATGTAGCTGTATTGGCCTGACAAAGAATTACCGAAACCAAGTGCTTGCCAATTAGACTTTTCAAACCTTTAGAAGTCGTGGGAAGAGACGTGGCAGTTGGTCACCTTTGGCATGACTGGCATGCATATGTACGCGTTGCTGTCGCAGCGTTGCCACCAAATCCGGCGCAGAGGTAGTCTATTCGACTTTTGAAATTGCTTACACCCTCTCGAGATTTCAGCCGACTTTAAAGTTGCAAGACGATAAGTCTAACATAAACGTTTGAGGTCTGTCGGCGGATATTTGCACTAAACATGGACTGTCTGTGCGGTAAAAGGACTTGTGGGGCTTTTAAATGCAGTCTCAACCTTTCCCCTCGATTCACTTATGGGAATTCTTCTGCTTAGAGGCAAAATCTCAGTAAGTGGACAGCTGTAACCGAGTTATCTCTCCTGTTTACTCGTGTTTATGACTGACACTGTCTTTTAGGACATCCTCACGTCTTTGAAGAACACTGATTTCTCGCAATGGCTGCTCATTTGAATAAGGAAATCACTATTTTTTCGCTCGTGTTGAAAGCTGTGTTGCGAAAGTTCTTCATCGAAAAAGATGGGTCACAGACAAAACTCATACTGTCCGTCTCCCCATCTCGTGAGAAAAGAGAGGAGATTGAGGTGGCTATGGATGGAAAGCCTATCTGTAAACCATTCGTCTGTCGATTAGTTCCCACGTCGATGGAAGTCATTCGTTGTTATTCTTACCATGTTTGAGGTTGTCGTAACCCCTTTGAGACACGTCAGAGTCGGGGTTCACATGGACTATTAAGATGGGACCTATTCCAAACCAAACTTCATAAGAGCGGTTATTTGGACTAATTATGGTAGAGGGACGCTTAGCAATCGTTCTTACTGAAATCCCTCGTCCCCTTGTGCCTTACGGGCTCTCGCTCGAGCCCAACCAGCGGCCGCACAGCGGCGCATGATATAGGCAGAATGCTATTACCGACAAAAACAAGGGAGACTGGAATAGCCATTTCTGGCTTTTTAGTTGTCGACGGCCAGTCATACCCCACCCCGAAGTGGTGAACACCTGGGGCTCGATCCCGCGAACTGTTATTTAGAAGTCCACCGTCTCTAACCACTGAGCCACGGGCTCGTTGTCCTGTCGGTTTCGACCGGAAACGTACATTGGTAGAGGGATGCTCACCGATCATTCTTACGGAACTCACTCGTCCCGTTGTGCCTTACGGGCTCTCTCTCTCTCAAGTCCAACCAACAGCCACACAGCGGCGCATGATATAGACAGAATGTTAGTTGGACTTCTAACTAACAGGTCGCGGGATCGAGCCCCATGTGTTCCACACTTCGTGGTCGGGTATGACTGGCTGACGACGGCGAATAAGCCAGAAATGGCCATTCCAGTCTCCCTTGTCTTTGTCGGTAATAACATGCTGCCTATTTGGACTACGGCTGTATTATGCTCTATATCTAGCCAATAGCCGCAATCGTGTTTCTCACTACTGCGCTTGCATAGGGACATGAAGACAGCCTGGACGATGGACATAAATGGGGTCCCTGGAGGTGGCGGGGGAAAGTCGGTATGAATGTACGCTGGCCAAACATGCTAGTCCGTAACCTCGGCGAGTTCACATGTGCCGACGCCACTGAAAACTACCGACAAGTCTACGCCTGGTACTACGGTCACCCAATGCGCCCTTGAAGCCCAAAACATGTCCGCATCCTCCTCGAATTAGGTCAAGCTTGTGCCTCCAAAATGTGCACACCCAGTAAACCAAATGCCTCTCGTTTTAGGAAAGAAATTCGGTCGGGCAAGTAGGGTAGGCACAGCGAGCACACCTATCACGAGAAGCACTTTCCACGCGTCACTTCAATACCTAGTAGTCGCAAGACTTACAGTAGTCACCATCAATTCTCCACGACTAACTGATTAAACTATGCAATAGGCATTTGGTTCCAGGTTTCTACCTGAAAAACTCCGGAACAAGTCCTGACTGATTGATTTATCGCCCAAAATCCTCACCCGTGCTGTCGAACTCAGGTCTGGCGACCTCGCCGACCACGGAAGGATTCGCATCCCGTTGGCTTTGCTACAGACCCTGGCAATTCTATCCCTATGACTAGCACTATTGTGATTGCTATTATCCGGCCCCCCCGGTATCGGAAGATATTCGCCTGCGCTAGCACTTCGATTTAGGATGGCGGGTCCAATCTGGCTGTCTATATTGAATCCATGTGTATGGTGAACTCCCCGTCCCCGTTTTGGTCAAGCTAGAGAAAAGCTGATGCGCGCAGTGCAAGATGAGGGCAGCTGGCTAGGGCATGGCAGGTTACGTGACAAATGCTCAACGAACCGGCGCCGCGGAATCCGGTAGTGGGGATGTGGATACAATCGCACCATCCGTCCACCAATCCACCAGCGAGAGGCTCACCCGCCGGACGCAAGCGAAACCGAAACCGCTGCGGAGTTGTCCACGTCGCTGAGACTGTTGCCGCCCCAGCCGCAGTCCAACCGCATGAGTCAACCCCTCCGGGAGGCGTGGAAGACGGCCCATGTTTGGACGGGCAAGTCATTTCGGTCGGCCAGACGGGAACAGAGAAGCGAAGCCCGTGGCTGCCCCTTGCCCCCCTAGAGGTCTGGAAAGCTGCCCACCCGCTGCCAGCGCGGCACTCGGTTGCAGGTGAGGTTATGGTCGCAATGCGTGCCTCACACAATGAAAAACGCGTGCGACGCTCGGGCCACGTCCCCAACACTCATTCACACGAGATGGGCCCTCGTCGGCATGGCTGACCAAATCCCTCTGAGCCAGCATCTCCATGCGCGCGGGGTAAGAGAACACGGTGAACGACCACAGTGCCAGCAACATAGCAGGCGACAGACAGCCGCCAAAGGTACCGCCAGTCCACAACGTTCTGGGCCGTTGCGGAATTCAATCTGATTTTTCAATGGCATAACGCACATGCTCGCGGTCCTGAGGACCCGCGAAAGTCCGGCATGCTAAGAAACCACCTCTGACACAGGATGAACATATTGCCGAGCTACTCAGCGATAGGAAACTGTGGAAACAAATCGCTAGTGCATCACAACTAGTTTTTTTGTTTCGTCACAGCTAGGTTGACGAAAACAAACATGCTATGACCACGTCTTTTTGAAGGGCATTTGGTATGCAATCGTCTGCGGGCCACAAACAGCGGCGCGGTGTAGTCAGCTCTTGCTCTCGCAGAGCCTGTCTTTTTAGTAGAGGTTATTTCGTAGTGTTTAGTCTGCTACACGTACCGTTTCATCGGACAGAAAAAAGCAAGCTAGGAAAATGCCCCCGGCTTCATGGACCTATAAGTGAGTCATCAAAGGTTTGCTATCTCACCCAGTAAAAGGCTCAGCAAACAGGCAAGAGTTATTGAAGAATGAGTCGAAAACAGGCCTACATAGTCAATACCACCCCTCCCCCAATGTGTCGGTAAACTATGTAGATTAAAAAGAAAAAAGTAAATTGGATTAAGCGTGTATAAATAAGCCAATCAAGAGTTCTAGAAGGCCTCTGACAAGCACAGGTCCGAGATTGTCCCTGTTCACAGTCTGGGAAGGACAAAGTGGCTAGTAAGCATCATCATGGGTGCAGCCGTGGGCGTGGTACCAATTAATCCAGCGCTTCCAGCCACGTCTATGTGAGTATATGGTAGTGGCTTCTCCTTGCCAAGACCATGCTAAAATTCGAAAGCACGAAACCCGTAAGACGGTAAAAGAGCCCTGAGATTAAAATACGAATTAAGCAGTGTGGTGATACCGGCTGGTAAACAATCTAGGCTCAGGGCCAGGAAGTAGCAAGAAGTGTACCTTATCAAGGCCACTAGCGATTGTCATAAAAGCTGCTGGGAACTGATGACCGCGTGGAGTTCCACTGCTAGGCAGATTGTTGCACTGAAGAACGTCCTCGAGTTCAGAGTGCCCTTTAGTGAGTTCAAAGTCCTCACGGCGTACTGTTGATATCTGTTAGCAATAAGATGAAAATGTCAAAAGAGGATGGGGGCGGACAAGGTGTTTAGAGGAGACATTTTATCAGCCTTACCTCTGCCATATCGGAGACTCGCTCGCCGGCTTTCTGCAACTTCTGAGATACTGACAACTTCCTTGCTGGACCGTTGTCCATGAGGGCCTAAGAACCGCAAATGTAGCTGGCTTACAATGCATGGGGAATAAGATGGCCAAAAGCTTAGAGGACTGAGTTGTCCCAGTGAATACTGCCACAGCGGCCTATAGTGGGCCTGCCTTAACTAGGATGAGTAGAAAAACAACTCCTAGACCGGTCCAATCAAGGTAACACACAAGTGCTACACACTATGGATTAAAACCTTTCTTCTCTTTGCTAAGGACTGAGATTGACCAAAAAGATGTACCTAGAGAACAGATGTCGCTGAATGATTGGTGGGTGGTGGCTTGGATTCCAGTCCACTGTGGACAAGAGGCGCAAATAAACCCTTCACAGCATTCAGTGATGCCAAGGAATGAGAACAATTGTGGATAATTGCGCACAGTGTAGTTGTCAATGGTTGGCATGCACAGTGCCAGAGGGCAACAGAACCACCAGAATACATAGGGCGATTCCGCGGAGAAGGAAGGATGAGACACTAACCCGATCAAATACGCAAAGATGAAGAAATGGACATACCGTGTAGAATTTGTATGCCCTAATGACATGGCCGGTGAGGGTGGCGATTGTGAAGAGGAAGGGGTTCTTGGAGTTGACTGCCTAAATGAAAAATAAAACAAAATCTAAAAGTAGATCCTGTTCACCGCAGGCGAGCACCTTGGCAGCTTGGGTGCTATAAAGCTATAAAATTGTATTTTTTCAAGTTGCTTTCCGCCAGTAAGGCAACGAAAGACAGTATAGGTGGGCAACGTTCGCCGATCTAGCCTGATTGCGGAATTCGGCGAGAGCGATACCCCTTGGCTTTCTAGGTCATTCGTACAGCCAACGCAGACAGCTGCAGTTACGGGCGATTACTAACAAAAAGGCGGAAAATGTGGAAATGACCACCACTGACTTATTTGTCGTCGTCAGCCAGCCATGCGCAAAGGCCGGACGGAGAAAAGCCAGAACTCGGACGTCGGCTGCTAAGTCGTCGAGCCTCTTGAGCCGCGGACTTGCGTCCTGTCGGTTGTGATTGGGAACACCCAGGGTCACACAGTAGTGACGCCTGTCGGTCCTCAGAGCTAGAGATTCGGCAGAGCCCGCACAGGGGGTCGCATGGAGACGATAAATCAACACTCGACAGCTGACAACGACAAACAGGCTGCAAATGAGCAGTTCATCTACCCTGGCCTATGTGCAACCCCTTAAAAAAACGAGATTTACCATCTGACACGGGGGCATTGTAAGTAAAGAAGAGACAAACAGATCTTACTTGTTCTTTGGCCTCACAGAGAAGGTCTGCCATCACCATGCGACCTTCAGCGTCTGTATTGCCAACTCGCACGCGACACCCGGCGCGTGAAGTAATTAGTTCGTCAGCAACGTAGCCGTTTGAGCCACAACTATTTCGCACTAGTGCCAAGTAACCAAAAACCTGTAAGCCCGGAGGTTTGAGGATTGACAGGGTTTTAAAGAAACCGGCGATGGCGGCCGCCCCACACTTGTCTCGGTGCATTCCTGCCATAATTCCACCGGCCTTAATGTCATTACCACCAGTATCATAGGTGATCCCCTTGCCCACTAAGAAGAGACTAGTATCCACTGTGGAGGACTTGTAGGTCAGGTGAGCAACCTTTCCACGGTGTCGGGCATTACCTAAGCAGAGGGGAAAAAGAAGATGTTTGTGAACTAAGAAGAGTTCTGTAAGTGAACAAGACTGACTCACTCTAAATGAGCATGACTTTACTGCCTAAAGAATCTAACCTATGCAAACCATCTACAGAACGATGTTGAAGAAAACAAGTTTTTTCCTTACAGCTAAAACTTGTACAATACAGTATTACATAGCGTCTCCCAAAAGGTAAAAACAAACATGCGGACATATTGGATGTCGCAACCTACTTAGACTTTGATAGAACAAGTTTGCATATATGTTAGGTTGTCGGGGAGAAACGCGACGAAATGAAAAATGCCTTGGAGGTTGAACTGCCTCAAGTGCTTTTAAAACGCGCAGATGCAAGCACCTCTTGATTTTGGGGCGATTCACCTACCAGACGCCGCACGATTGACAGCAGCCATCAGAGGATAAGCCTTTTCCTCGACTTCTTGAATGTCAACAGACACCTCAGGGACATTCTGAAACTCTTTTTTCAAGTATTCGGCGATCTTTGGGGCTGCCATTCGCTCGGGATCGGAGCCTCCAATGTCCCTGGCTACCCTTCTGCCCTCTTCAATGGCTGCGGCGATGAAAATGAGCTTCTGAGTGGCATTGAACACACCAAGCTTGTCAAACTTGCTGGGCTTCTCGGAGTGTATTTCTCGAAGTTCCAGAGGCTGAATATGACCAAACATGCAAAAAACAAAGGCCCCAATTTAGAGGAAAGCATGGGAATTTAGGAAGTGGAGAAGCGCGCACGTACTGACAATAGTGTGGTAGAAAATGGGCCGAAAAGCCGACTGTCGTGATGGGTTGCTTTTGAAGCTGATGAGGAGTCCGCTCCTATCACACATGGCACTTCACCCGTCGTACCCGAAGACGGCCACCGTTGCCTGGGGAGGTAGCAGCGACACAGTCACAGTCGCGTTCCTACTCCCTTCTAGTACCCCCACTAGGTCCAATGGTTAAGTAGGTTTAAGAGGACTGCAGATGTGCTCGGACATGGCCGTTGACATGGTAAAAGACCACGCCTTTCTCGCACGCACGCACATGTTTAGCCCCAATAGAAGTCTGACACAGCACACACGGCAAATGAGTCACGATAACGTTGGACACAAAATTTAGGAGTACACAGGCAACTTTCGAAGTTAACAACAGATCTTAATATGGTGAATTAACATTGACGCAACTGAAAGGTATCCATGCGCGGAACACAATGACCTACCATATACAGAGCATGTAGGGCACCCAAGACAGCATTTAACAGTGGAAATTCATCCTCCATCCACACAACATCCCTGGGGGCTGATTTGATGGGTCCGAGTACCAGAAGAGGTGACCTGCAGTTGATAGACAGTGCCCTGGGAAAGACAGTAAATTAAAGAGCAATTAGGCGGCTTTAGACTTAAACAGGTAGCCAACAAAAAAGAGCTTGCCAGGGAACTTCTGCCTATGTGACATCGAAGTTAGACAAGTTAACCAGTCGGAAGTGCTAGATTTGCATTACTTTGCTATAGAAAGTCTCATGGAGGTTGACTTTAGAAAAGGAGTCAGGAGCAGACCGGTGATCTAAACTCTTCGAACAATGTGAAGCGCTCTAATTTCAGGCAGCAGGATAATTGTAAGCTACGCTACAGTACCCGTCATGCGCAGCCCTCTATTGACGGCAAAAGACGAGGCAGAGTACGTGCTCTGCGTGCATTAAACGCGGACGAAACCGCACGTACTCGCTGAAAACCGATGTTATCTATTGCATCACACGCACGTGGGTTGCAGAAACCAAAACCGTGATGTGCTGGAAACCTAACGACAAGACACCACTAACCGCAATAAAATCGGCGAGCGATTCATCCCCCATACACTATTCAACGGCGTCGCTTAAGTCCTACAAGTAGTACAACGCTTACTTTTTAATTCCAGCCTCGGCGGCATCATAGATGTTGCGACTGTCATCCGTATCGCCGTTCAGCATACCAGTTGGAGAGAAAATCTGGAAAGGGAAATTGGCCGCACGGGTTACTTTTAGTACGCTCATGGAAATAGAAGTTGGAAAAGGAACGAGTTGCAAGTCACGGTCAACGTTTCTATGCAGGAAAAACGAGGTAGGTTTGCTCGCCAGCTTGACTTTTCGTTTTCGTTGGTCAGGCCAAATGCTGCGCATGTAAAAACGGCGTGCGCAAAGTCAAGTTCGGAAAATTAAGTGAACAGGACATAATAATGTACGCCAGACCGTAGTCAAACCGAAGAAGCGGATTCGCACTCGAGATTCCTAAACCTACCTCATTAATTGTCTCTATTAACATTGTGAGGACAAGTACCACGGATGGGGCTCTAGAAAGGCCTTTCCACTACGTATGTTCTCGCAAAAAGTGCAGTTTACATGTTCATACTGTCAAGCCATTATCTGAGGAAATAGAATAACATTGGGCCCCGAAACCTTACAATGCAGGCAGTCGAGTTAGCTGTTAGGAGATTACACCCCGTGATTTGATAGTCGCTAGAAAAAAGACGCCAGTAAGGTAAGCTTTGAATGTCGCTTGTCTTTTTATCCCGCTTCACAATAGTGCTAAGAAAGTATTAGACAGTCGACAATAACTGATATCGGATGGGGACTGGAAGCACGCTGACAGCAAGCATGAGTTTTATTTAAAACATCGCAGACCAAAGTCATGGGCAAAAATGGTGGAACTAATATGAAACGGTAGTGAAACCTGTCTAGCGCTGACATGGTCTTCGTTAGGCAAAACGTCACCGATAAGCCAGATGATATAAATGACTGAAGGCAGTGTCTTAAAGAGAAGAGCAAACGCTAGAGCAATTTGGGCGTGAGATTCCACAACGCTGTTGGTGGACAACTTTCAAGTGGGACAGGCAAAAATTGGGAAATTAAAAAACGCCCGGTGACGTACCATCCGTTGGCATGGGTGGTCAGTGAAGGGTAAGATGTCCAAAGTGGTCTCGATCTTGGGATTAATCTGGAATGTAGCAAAAGCCGTCATTAAAACGCTCGCGAGCGTTATTCCACTCAAGCAAGTAAATACGCGACAATGTAGGCTAGGGCCACTTAATAGTTCCATTATTAACAGATGCGTCTCACATCACAACCCCAAAACCATGGGCAGACAAGTCTTAACTGTTGACCATGTCTTCTGGCTGAATCATATGCCTTAACCTGAAATGTCGCAAAAGTAGTTCAGGAACGTGGCTAATGTCAGCTGTGGGGGGGCGGGGGGGGTGCAAAACGCCTCTCACTGTAACAACCTCGAATATAAAAGCAGACAAATTGTAAACTGACATAAAGTATGCACTATATAGCTTTCCCTGTTGGAACTAAACTTTTAAAAGAAAGACCTACCCCTCGTAATGACAATGCGACCCGTAAAGTGGACACTCAGAAAACTGCACTTACATTTTCGTAAGCGATTAGCGCTTTTTCGATAGGGTCCAAGGCAGCGACACCAAGGTCATGGATCTTGTCATTGACAAACACCACAACATCGTATTCGCCACCGAGAACATCACCAGCGGCGGAGACGGACATGTTGGAACGCAAAACGCGTACTGGGAAGCGCCTGGCGAACCGGTTATGCAGGATTTCAGGCAGTGCCTGGTCCAATAGAAAATTTGTCCAATTAACCAATCAGGCTGGAGAGAGTTCGCAATTCTGACTGGCTGCTTTTCAGTATGTGACCTTGTCATGACTAATAGGCGAGCCGGGCTGTGACGTCAGAAGTCGTGGCAGCGGAAGCCAATTCTAGTCGAGTGAGGATACGCCAGTTTGCTTTTTCGCTGCCTAGGTCAGGAGTCAGTTCTGTTTCACTGCGGGACACGTTCTGATGACATGGCTCGTAGCAAATTATGGCTGCTTTTGAAAGAAACTTGCAACATGGGATAACTGAATGACATCTTAGAATAGTGTCCTGTTGAGAGCACTCGCTGATTTAAAGCCGATATTTCATTATTGCTGAAAATTTCCCATAATTATTGATTATAACTCGACTTTGGTTTTGGTTGCATTCTAAGGAAGTAGGGGGAAGTTGAAACAGCTTGTAAAGTCACGAAGTCGTCCCCCATTTGCACGCCTAAAAGAACTGCAACATTCAACCACTAAACTCGGTAAAAAAAAGGGCTGCTAGAAGACTTTTTGTTCGACTCCTTGTGGCCAAAGAAAGCGAGATTAGTTATCGTTGTGGCGAAGCTGAGAATTTATCACGGATTTGGGGCTTATAAAGAGTTCTCTATGCGCAGACGAGCGTTCTCCAACAAGTATTCGGTTTTTTTGCTACACTTCTCACTAATGGGTATATCACGGCTCATTAATTTACTCCTATTCCCCTCAAATGAATCTGGGCGACAGTAATACTGGCTTATATTTCTGTAGGTTCTAGAAGACCTATTTTCCCTGGAAGGCACTTTCTTCCGCTATGGCTTTAGTTTCCGTTTTTTGCGTTTTCCATCATTTAGTGACTCCCAGTTCGTCAAGTCGCCTTCCGAAAATTACGAGTTTCAGATTCATTGCAAACCAGCTTCAGGGTCTGACGTGCGCCCTGCTCTGAGGGAGATGCTTACTCCATGGGAGGTGAATTTCATCAGCTTTATTGCGAGACGGAAATACCTTCGTCTTGCAGTTTCAGTCTAGAGTTCTGAAGAGCGCTCTTAAAACTAGAAGTAATTCATCCTCCATCTGCTCCATGAGGCTACCAATTGAAGGGCGTCTGCCCCCTTTGCCCACTGTATAACAAACGGTTTTCTGAGAGAGCGGTGTTTCAATGGTTAGTGACGGCTATAGGCATATCCATTAAAATGACGACCTACGCCAAATGCTTCTAGTAGAATTTGGTTGTACCATGAGACCGCTTAAATAACCGCTATCTGGTTCCAAACATAATTATACTGCCTGTCCCAACATCTAAGCATTCTTATAATTAGTCAAAGACTGTGGATAGAGAGCTTAAAACCCTACTTGCATACGAAAGGCATGCGGCAGAACTCATATGTGGCATAGCGGTTATTTCCGATAACAGTAGACCTGTTCATCGGCTTTGTTATTACAATTTCCTGTCAGACGTCAGCCTCTAAGGTAGCTTAATGTGCTGGCAGATCAGATGAATCATAGGCAGGGGATCGTGTTCAAACCGCTCCCGACATCGTGTTTTCAGTGGAATCGAATATCTACTGTTTATGAAACCGCTTGGTGGGGCTTTGAATAGTCTGCCGTTCATAATTACATTCACGAATGGAGGCGAATGTTTGAGTTCTAGGTATATGTATAAGTAAGGAGGGAAGAAAGCGATTAAGGACCGGGACCATTTGTTAATTTTTCTGAGATTTCAAACTCGTGCATGGGGTTCATTGTCAAAGATGACAGCAGCAGCAGCAGCAGCAGTAGAACAGGTGACAATTATTGCATTTCTGCTCGGTATGATAGTTAGTCTAAGCCTTTTTGTTTTACGTCCCGTACGCTAGATCGGTTGAACGTCACGTCCTCAGTGGATATGGATTGGTGTAGGAAGTTGTTCTTTTGTGATGCTCTGCTCAGCATAGCGACAGCGAACGAACCACCCTGTCCGTCAGCTGATTGAGCCGTATGTGACAACCTCCAGCTGGTCGACACCATGACACTGATCGATATGTTTCTTTTCAACTATTGGCCGCAGCCAGACAGAACTCAGGAGCAAACTTGCACCTCGCGTTGGGGCCAACAACATCAACGACGGTCACTCGGTTTAAGTAAGCAAGTGCTGTCACCGTCTCCTGAGCATATTTGCGTTCCCTTACTGTAGTAAAGTTTGCCCTACTAACTCTGTACCCCAACTTTTTATTATGGAAATCTCTCCTCGTCGACTATCGCACATTAACACTGTCTTGGCCTTTACTTGCAGTCGGCATCAACGCCTGATGACAGAACACCGGTCGCCCATGTAGGGCCTGGCATTTTGGGCTCCTGTAGTTCATAAACTATACTATCAGACGCCTGGGAAGGAGAAACTGGGACCTTAAGTGTGCGATCACTGTCTCCGCCCATTGTTCGCTTGATCCGGCTCTCAGTCCAACTATTTTTATTATATACGCTCTGCCGCAAAGTTCTAATCTTTAGAACCTCCTCGACGTCTTTGTTCTGGCCAGCAGCGCAACAGTAGTTCACAAAGCGGAAAAGGAAACTATCAACTGTCCATTACTGTTAAGAAATACTCACCAAAATCCACCTCATCCCCTTGAAAAAAACGGAGTACCCCTTCCAGGCGCTCGAATTTAGTATTGTCCTCAAAAGTGCGACGTGTTTTTCAAGGCAAACGGTTATCAATTAATCTTGAACCTTACGTGCATAAAAGCAGTGGTTTTTTTATCTCTCATCAGTTCGATAAGAACCTCGTGAAACAGTAAAGTCAGAAGGAGCATTCGATCATTGAACAGGTTTGAGTACCTTTAAGAAGAAGCAGATGTGATCGGCGGGACAAGAGTTTTGTTCGCTCGACGTTTCGGATTCGGGCCCAAACCCAGCATCAGATACAGGAAGTTGCAGTATTTATACGAAGTAGTTGCTATGCTGCTAAATAGCTATGACAACTAGCGGCTCCCCCCTTCATCGAGGAGGGCTGCCCCGGTACGTTAATTGCTTGATGCTCGGGAAGCAAGGCCTTAATTGCTGAAATTCCATCACCCGTGTCGGCTGTTGGCGTGATGATGATTCGGCCATTTGGCTCACCGACCTGCGCGCTCCCCGAGGAACTAGTTACTTTGGCCAAACTAAATCTCAGCACCGAACCGGGGGTGAGGAGGTCATTGCACTTTTAATTTACTGGGATCCCGTATCTTCAGTTAGTCGGTTATGAGTTTGGATGTAATTGCGTATGCAAACACATGGGGCTCACGCAAATGGCAGTTGGCAGCTCGGTCAGCTGAACACATGCCGAAGTGGCTGCTAAGAAGAAAAAATGAGGTACCCGGGAGTTCAATTACGAAGCACCTAGTGGACACGGGCCATACGGCGGACCCAATGACTGCATCCAAAGTCCTGCCTCGGGTGACGACTGGGCGTCCGCTGCGCCTCACAGAGGCCGCTGCAATACGGAGGAGAATACCGGAACTCTGTAAACAGCTGAATCACATGA